AAAAAAAAAAAAAAAAAGGAGGAGACGAGGTGGATTGTGGATTGTAAAATTTACTTAAATGGTAACACAGATTGTTTACATAATGATTGCTCTGGGAGAGTGCCATAAGTCTTATGTGAACCGAGAAAGGAAAAAAATGAGTTAGTCCAGTTCCTCAGCTCCAGCTGGATGATGCCTGTGATGACAGAACCACTGGAAACTTGGTGCCCCTTAGGGAACTAGGAGTGAAGGAAAATTGGCTCCAAGGTGTGCCCCGTGCCACACACACTGTGAACGCGCCTGGTTCTTGCATAGTATTTCTATTTATATCATTGGTTAAACAAATCAGGCCCTCATGATACACCACACATGAGTGTATATGCATGCACACACATGCATGCACACGCACACGCATGGTCTTATTTCTGTCTATCCATAATCTACAGGAAATGCTACAGAAATAACAATGTACGTTTGGGGATGTTTAGACGCTAAATACTGGAGTACTTTCAACCATAATTTAAATGAGAACATTCATTAAGAAGCAAATTTCTATACAGATTTATGAGCAGTTGGTATAAAAAATTTGTTGGTGAGTTCTGGAAAATATTAGCCATAAGACTCCTCATATTTTCAGAGTAAAGGAAGCTAAAATCTCCTAGATATTCCCAGCATAATTGATAATGATCAATGAAACACTATATCCAGTAGGACAACCTTCACTGATTTCTAGATCAACTTTGGAGTTATTATTATTTGTAATGAGGAAAAGAGCATTTCTTTTTACGTTTCAAAATCCCTTGGTTGAATTTTTAAAATTACGTGATACACTAGCCATGGAACATTTAAGAAAACTGTGAATCTTGGAAACCCAGACACACGCCTGGCCTCGCCAAGTAACCTGATTATTAACATGCATGCTTTAACTTACCACCATAGGCTCAGTGCGAGGTCTGGGCAGGCAAGAAAAGGTCTCTCGCAGGAAGGTGGTAATCTCCAGAAGAAGCTGACATGCTGCCATCTTCAAGGCAAAGGGGCAACAGCATTTAGAGGGGTTCACAGTACCTGTGAAATGAAAGTGTTCTTTCATAAGGAGACAAATCAACAAAAAATACAGAAATGCATAGTTTGATGGACATAGCTACACATGTGTAAAATCAAATTGAATATGAGAATGTTACCTATATATGTCTAACATTCAATTACATATGAGGACTTCATCTACATCTATGTAAGTTCAATTTACCTATTCCCTTTAGCATGATTTATGCACTACCATAAGCATCTCTCTTCCTCCATTTTGCAAATTCTACAGAGTGCTTCAGTATTAAAATATCGAACAAGCAGAACTAAATTATTTTCCTTAAAGCATCGTAGAGTAACAAAATGCAGCTCCAACTAAACTAGAATAGCTTTTAATGAAAACAGAAATGGGAGGTAATCTCGCAAGATTTCTGTGCTGCTCTTCAATCAGATTTAGACTATGCATATGGCAGTGAACTAGATTTGGAGCTACAAAAATTCTGCCAGCTCATTTTATGAAGGATGTCTGTCTTGCTGTTCTGAGGGCAGTGAAGTTGTTTCAGCTCTAGTTCAAATGTGTTTCTGCAACATAGACAAGACATACTTACTGGATCACACATATCATACAGTTTGTGCAAGCTAGCCTGTCAAATTAAGGCATAGCTATACTAGAAATGTACAAATATTCTCTTTTGCTCTGAAGAATATTGACCTTTGAATTAGTAAAGCATTGTATCCACTAGAAGCCAACTAATAGTTTTTGCTCTAAAGATAGATAATGGCCACAGTAACACCATAGTGATTTTTTAAATTCTCAGAATTAGTTCTCAGATATGTGTCATCACAACTGATGACACAGGATGATGCAGAAATATATTGATTAAATGTTCAGAAATAATCAGAGCCGTGTAGAATTCTTTCTCTTATAAAACAAAGGAAATGGTTGTCTATTTTAAATGAATCAAGTCATCAAGCAATCACAATACCATTACATATGAACAGTCCTAAAAATATCTCTAAAATGTTTCCTGGATGTTAAGCTTTCTTAATTGAATAGAATACAAACTTCATGATTTCATTTGAAAATAGGCGGAAATTATGGTCTTTCTGTAGAATTTAAGCTATTGTTTTCTCAGGAAAACCATTTTCTCTCCCGAGTTAATCTGTTGCTGGGGACTTTGCCTCTCATCAAGAATGGAAAAGACAAGCTTCTGTAGAATTTCCAGCCCGAAAGTTGCTTGCACCATAATTAGCCTTTAAATGCAAGATGAACTGTGTATTGACTTGAAAGTGGAAGTAAAAATCAGACATATCAATCTTATATATGTCTTATAGGGGCTATTTGACTAAATATTATCTGGATATGCAACACTTTTTAAAAAATAATTGAACACTAGACATTCAGTATAGACTTTTGGGTCTGTCTTTTCACTCCTAAGGTTATCATCCAGGCTTTTCTTACCAGTCCTGCAGACAATAAGCTTAGTCTTAGTCTAGGCTCTTTCATGGCTATCATATTAAATATCCTGTTTTAATAAACAAGGATTGAGTTCTACCTAGTCTCAACAAAAAGCTAATATTCTAGGCATAACATACTGGTAAACGACACTTATGCAGTCTAATGGGGATTCAAGTTGTTTTGGCCTATAAGGATGCATGCATTTAATGTTGCTTCAGCTTCTCTCTGTTCTGAAGGGCCCCCTGGAAGTTCCAGGGTGGTTTAGAATGCCCTCTGGCCAAATGGGTCTTATGGTGGGCCTTCCCTAGGTTCTGTGATTGCTGGATAAACCTCATTCTAAGATAGTTTAGGCTACTGTAGATATTTTTGGGGCCAACCTTCATTATTAGGCTGAAAGACTGACATAACAATTTGGTGTTTTGTCAATGGCTATGTCAAGAAGATTTGCTCTGATTTGATAAGGTCTTAGAAGGGGCAACATGATTAAAAAATGCAAAAAAAAAAACCACTTTGGAAGGAACGTGGAAGGGAAGATCATAAGAGTTTTCTTTGATTATTATTCAGTCCTGCCTAATGTTACACTCCATCCATTCTTCTACATTTCGTGACTGCAATGATGCAGTAGGTCTGAATCACCTAATGAAGGACAACTCTTAACATGTAGTCAGGGAGCTTGAATTTCAAACCACAGAGGAAGGTCAGAAGGAAGAGATCTCAATACGTTCACCATATAAAGATACTAATTCCATAACTATAACTGGAATTTTGTATTCCATAAAAGGCAGTGGTACATATACACAAAAGCTTGTATGGTATAGAACACATGTATACACAAAATGATGTTGAAGAAAGATATAATAGGAATCCTTTTGTCTCTACTTTTCTATGATGAGATTCAGTTCCAAATTTAATAAATAGGTACAGTACAGCAGACATTCATAGTTCTAGCAACCTCTGAATATTTTAATATTTCAGTGTGTCATGTTAAATACTATAATATACTCTGTTTAAAATTTTCAGTATTTTACTGATTTGGAAAATATTTCATATTCAATTTTATTTCGTCTGATTTTGTTTCCTGGAGCAACAACAACAACAACCAAAAAAAACACACAAAAAAACACAAAAGAAACACAAAACCCGAAAAATTCTCTTCTAGGACAGTAAATTTTCTGCAACTGTAGTCTCTCAGAGATGTTTTCTCAGAGAAGTCAAATACCAATATTTGTATAATAGCAAGAGTCAAAGATGAAAAAGTAATAAATGTTTCATCTTGCCTGCACCTCCTTGCCCCTGTCTGTCTTCTCTTTCTGATTCTTGCCTTGTCTCTGTGTGGCTTTATGCACATGCTTTACACCATGCACAGGGAAAAGGGGATAAGGCGCAGTGGGAAGACATGGGCAGGTGGTAAGAATATGAAGGAGAAAAGAGAAGTATTAAGTGCTCCTAAAGCAGAGGTTCTTACAAGCAGGGGTTCTTGTAGTAAAGGGAGTCTCCTTACTGTCATCTAAAAAGTCTTCCTCCTCATCCTCCTTTCTAAGTCGCCTCTTGGTCTCCTCATCGTAAATGAGACCCAGAAGGTTGGCTGGGCTCTCACTTTCCCCATGGCACAGCTCATTCAATCGGACGCCAATTGCCTACAATGGGAAGGAAAACAATGAAACGGCACAAACTAAGTCAAACTCTAAAATAGGCTCTCACATTACAGCAGACATAAGCAACCAATTAATGAGAATTATTTCCAGCATAAGCCTCTTCTGTATGCTACAGTGTTGTTTCCACCATATTTGCCAGTATGGAAACCAGAAATGGAAGAAATGACTATCCCCAAGGTCATCCAGTCTAAAGATTTGTAAAAACTAGGATGACACCTTTGTATATTTGTACAAAAGTTTTTCTGAAAATATTTCCATTTACTCAAAGGTTATTTATTTTATAGATATGATAAAAGGGAGTACACAGTTGCTTTTAATGGAGGATTTTGTTGTAGTAAAACATCAGAAGGCACAGTTCCTCAGAGTGCTTCTGATTATGCTATTTTTAATGAGAATGTCACTGTCACGGAATGCCCTCTGGCCAAATGGGTCTTATGGTGGGCCTTCCCTAGGTTCTGTGATTGCTGGATAAACCTCATTCTAAGATAGTTTAGGCTACTGTA